CCCGCTTCAAAAACCAGAATTTTATAACTGGCATAAACATTTCCATTGCATTAAAAAGAGCAAAATACCTAAACATAAACTTAACCAAAGAGGTTACCTATACTCTGAAAACTGTAAAACACTGATGAAGGAAATTGAAGAGGATACAAAGAAATGGAAAGATATCTTGTGCTCTTGCACTGGAAGAATCAACAGTATCAAAACGGCTGTACTACCCAAAGCCATGTACAGATCCAGTGCAACGCCTGTCAAAGTACTCACGACATTCTTCACAGAACTAGAACAATTCCCAAATTTATATGGAACCATAAAAGACCCCAAACTGCCAAAGCAATCTTTTGTAGGTTTTTTTTTCTTTTCTATTTTCTTATGGTTTGACGACTAGAGAAGTTCTTTTAATATTTGTTGTAAAGCAGGTTTGGTGGTGCTGAATTCTTTTAGCAGCTGAGTGAGAGCCTTGCTGGGTAGGGTATTCTTGGTGGTAGGTTTTTCCCTTTTCATCCCTTTAACTGTATCTTGCCACTCCCTTCTGGCCTGTAGAGTCTCTGCTGAAAAACCGGCTGATAACCTTACAGGAGTTCCCTTGTATGTTATTTGTTACTTTTCTCTTGCTAATTTTAATATTTTCTCCTTATTCTTAATTTTTGTCAATTTGATTACTATGTGTCTTGATGTGTTCCTCTTTGGGTTGATCCTGTGTGGAACTCTGTGCTTCCTGGACTTGGGTGACTGTTTCCATTCCCAAGTTGGGAAAGTTTTCAGTTATCTCTTCAAAAATTTTCTCAGGTCCTTTCTCTCTCTCTCCTCTTTCTGGGACCTCTGTGATGCGAGTATTAGTGTGCTTCATGTTGTCCCAGAGTTCTCTTAAACCATCCTCATTTCTTTTCATCCTTTTTTCTGTTCTGCAGTAGTGATTTCCACTAGTCTGTCTTCTAGCTCATTGATACATCCTTCTGCTTCACTTAGTCTATTCATGGTTCCTTCTAGTGTGCTATTCATTTCAGTGATTTTATTCTTCAACTCTGTTTGGGTAGTCTTTATATTTTCCAACTCTTTGCTAAAAACTTCACTCTGTGCATCTATACTCCTCTTGAATTCTCTGAACATCTTTGCCATCATTACTTTAAACTCTTTCTCAGATAAATTGCCTATCTCCTTATCACTTATTTCTTCTTCTGGAAT